CTCAATCGCAATGATCTTTGAAAATCCCAGAAATCTTGAAAAAAATAAAATCCAGTTTTTTTCTCGTTGTTAACACCTTTACATGTGACATTGAACATTATGGCGTAAAGTCGTTGAGGAGACTTCGCGAGACGCGACTAAAAAAGCCTTCACAAGGCGTCAAAGAGCTACTGGTTGACTCTCAACGTGATGAGGCGTAGTAGTTTTTCGTTGTGACGTTATGCACTGACCCGATGCACTGTGAGAACCAACGTTCGTTGATATAGCAAAATGGTTCACGTTTCACAGTTTCTCAACAAAAAAAAAGAGCCAGTAGAAGAAATATATTATCGAATACTAGTTGATTTTGTTCTACTTTCAATGTTCTGTCCTAGAATGCTACATGAGAAGGTTTGGCTGGCCCATTTCTCGGCTAGATGGTCCCACCATTCCGCAATAATTTCCAACCGTTGTTTTTAAACATTCAACCGAATATTCAAAAGTTGGATAGGTTAACTGTTGACCATTTCAATGAAATACTAAAAAGATTCAGAATTGACGATTCATGACATCACTGCTTCCTATAGAGATATCGAATCAAAAAAGTAAAATTTGATCTGTGTCTGTCTCGATTAGTGACATTATCTGGGGAGACTCATAAGAACTCTTGTAATATCTTTTTGTTCTATTTCAGTCATTTTGAAAAATGCCCTTCTACAACAAAGTTCAATTAAGAGCTGTAGACGATTCAAAATATGGTTCGGATCAAAAAGGTATATTTGCAGTGCAGAAAATTTTCAAAGGCGAAGAGTTAATTTATGAATTCGATCCATCGGTCGAAGAATGGCCGTTTTATCGGGATGAAGATAAGCGTGGAAAATATAATAAGGCTCAATTATTACAAATGATCGAAGATAATCCAAAATTAAGCAGACTCATCACTCGTCAATCCTATATGGTCGATGATGATCTGTTTAATGTTCCATTCAAGTATGCAAATCTGGATTCGGAAAATGTCGATGAATGTGAAGAACGCTTTGCTCAATTATTATTCATCAATCATTCTTGTGATCCAAATGTTGGTTTCATCAATCCTAGAGGATGCTATGCAAGGCGAGATATTGAGATTGGGGATGAAATAACGCAACATTATGGTTGCCTTCTAACTGAAGATTCGTTCCAAGCTGGAATGAATTGTCAATGTGGCTCAAAGAATAAGTGTCAAAATTTTCTTCGTATGGATTTTTATAAAGATCCTCTATGGTGCCAGGATAACGAACTATACTGCTCTTCGTATGTCCAAAAGAAGATCAGTCAATTACTGCTCGACCAAAACTTGGTCACTCAGGGTATGTTACTTCGATCTACAAACTCTATATTATAGTATTCATTTCATTTTATTAAACCCTGTGACCGAGCTAACACTACAAGATAAAAGTTTCCTAATGGAATGTAAATAAGTAGTAGTTCTCGCTATCATCTCTCACATATTTATGCTTCTATATTAAATGTATTTCCGTCATTTATACCTGATAATGAGCATATTTCAGCAGATTGTTCAAAAAAATCGATCATGGTTCAGAGAACATAGGATTTGTTATTCCTAACAATGAAAATGAGTGACTCGCACATTTGTGATTCTTAAATAGAAATCTAACTTGCAATTTTCATGCGAACATACCTATTGAATTATTCAACAGACTTTGTGAATTATGGTACCAAACACAGCAAGTTCAAATTATCGGTTGCTTACTGATCCTGTTACTATTCAGAGATAGGTCTGCCAAAATACATCAGCACATTATATATTTTATGGAAAATGACAGTATACATTGGTGATATTGCATAATTTATTTAAAAGATTGAAAGAGAAAACTTCTACTAAATACGAGAGGTTGGACAATTCGATCAAAGTTCCGATCTGATAAACTGTTCAAAAATCTAATCTGATCTGAGCTGAACTGTTCGAACAGTTCATCTTAATTTACAGGGAGACGTTGAAACCGTTCTTCTGATTTAAATTGAACTGTTTTAACAGTTCAATAGCTCATTTGATCTGAGCTGACGTGCTGGAACTGTCCTAGGTCTACTAAATACATTCACAGCTTTGAGACGACGCCTTCAAGAGTAATGAATTCTTTCATAGTCAAAAAACCAGTACCTAAAAACTTGAACTCGCAGTGCTTCTACCTGTGAGAAAGTTTACTAGTAACTTCCTTCATTTTACGAAATAATGTGATAAAACATTTACGAAGTGTATGCAGTCTAGATCCAGATTTCTCGCTTTTTATGCCAATATTCATTCAAAATTTTGACGTAAGAATAAGGCTTTCATGTATTTGATATAATACCGATTATTAATACAAATAGAAGAGAGAAGTAGGCAACCTTTCCCTCAGTAGGAGATAGGGATTGGGTATTTCTATTGAAATGGCATTGTTTTTTGCAGGAAACAGCAACATAAATAAAAATTCTTTTTACACGTTTCCGATCAATCAAAAGTATTTATATATTTTTCTAATTATGTGCAGTGCACATGATGATATGTTCTAGAAACCCAGGAACACTTAAAAACGTAGAAAGTATCTGTGGGATAATGAATCCACATTGTTCGTACGTTGAAAGTTGTTAGAACATCAACCAGATCCTATATCTCTAGTTGTAAGAAACTATCGAGTGTGAATGTAGGTGTGTGGGAGTTGAGCTGCTTCAAGCGAGAATCCACACCCAAATTCGTTCTTTGCCCTTGGAGACGATTCTGGATAGTTCATAAAATTGTTTTATCTATATTCAACGAATTTTAAAGACAGTCTTTCAATCATTGGGTTCCTTGAACACTTATCAATAGCTGAGCATGCTCGTCTTCCGTTCGAAAATTTAGTTTTAGCGGTAGAGGATACGGATGTAGATATTAATCTTCTCTTCACCAGAGCTGTAGTCCCACCCACACCCAGTATACAACAAAAACTAAGCATTTTTTGAACTACATCATTATGATACATAACAAAACTTTACGATTTGGTGTACATGGAATTTATTAGATATACAAACATATCAGAATAATTATAAACAATAAACGATGTTCACAACACATACAAAAGCCAATAAATACTAAAAGGTTTTGAATGAGACTCTTAGATATTGAGACAAAAACAACTATTTTTCATCACTCCAGTCTGACATTTGATTCTTGTTCACGCTACAATAAAGAGTAACTTTAGTATATACTTATATAGACTCTTCTTAATGAGATTCATGCTTTTTCAATGAGAGCAGCTGATTGTAGACACGCTTCTTCTATTAGGAGTAGATATTATTTAGAATTTTCAATCAGGTAGAGATCAAGAAACTTATCACATGCCAAAATGAATAATGTACATAGGAACTCGACTGATGAGGCGATCAAGAATAGTAAAAGACACGCTGCCAGAGTCGTTTGTGAATCATTTCGATCATATTTCATATTTTTCACATAAAACAAACTATTATATTGATGTCCTAGCTCACACAACATTTACTTTTATATTTTACTTCAAAGGTAGATGAACTTGTAGGTAGTACGATAAAGACGTATTGAATGAAGAATGAATAAATTACTTAGAGGATATCTTTATTTACTTCAATTAAACTTGCAAAAGAGAAAGACTCTTTTATCCTCCAATTCGATCGTTAGCTGAGTGAATAATTATGATCAATAGTATTATACAACTTTCAAAGAAAAGGTTAAAATACACAGATCAGTCGTGTTTTCTGTTATTAAGTGCAAGAAGCAAACTAAAAATCGTTAACAACTAGTGAAAAATAAGTTGTTTAAAACTTGTTTTCGTTGATCTTAAAAATTTACGTGCATCAGTAGCTGTACATACGTGTTACCGTCGTCAACAATCAGATCATATGGATTCTCAGTTTCTTAGAGTATCACCAGTGCAAAGTCCTTTCGATTGAGATACAAAATAATATTGATTCAACCCTCACAGTACAATTGGCTATAGAAAAAGATCAATATTTCGACAGTAGTGCATTCAAGTAACTCTTTATCATTTTCTGACAGCGACCGAAACAAACTGAGTTTTACTGGTTCGAGTTCAGTTCGGTTCGTTTTCAGTGTCGGATGTAAAATAATCGATTAAACTTCATTTAATAATGATCTTCAGTATTACAAATTTATAAAAAAGATTATAGCTCAATTAGTCCTTTTTCTTATGTGTTTATCTACATTCATTCACTTGTGGAAAATTAGATAGAGTTCAGTACAGTTCGACAACATTTTTGAAACAGTGGTTCGAGTTTGGTTCGGGTTCGATTTGTATCGACTCAAACCGAACCGAACCGTTTTAGTTCGGTTCGGTTCGGTTCAGTTCATTTTCGGTCTCTGTTTGCTAATAATCATTTAGAGATCAATGATATAAAAGTGAATAGATGATCAAAAGAATTCTCCGCAAACCTTTTTCTTAGAAAATAAACTCACACCATATGAACATCAAAACTATTTCTCTGTTAGTACGAGTCTGTGATTAATTTTTAACTATTGCGTTCTTTAATCAGCACCAGCATCGTATGCTCAATCTCATATTTGGCATGATGAACGACTCTACTTTATTCTGAACCAATTGGACGATGCACTTTACAATATGCCTTTTCTTTATCGTCTCTATTCTGGAAATACTTTATCAACTCAAAAACTTAAAAACGCTCTTCACATAATTCTCGCAAAATATCGACCACTTCGTAGATTATTCTTCTTCGATACAGAAAAGAATCAACTCATGCAACGGATCATTGACTTCAATGATAAAGACCAAAAGGTGCTCGAGTTCAATGAAAGTATTTTCGAAACAGATGAACAGTTGACGAAGATCATGTACTACGAGAAACACAATTCTAAGCTATTTGCTCTTGATCAAGGTTGTGTCTTTCGATGTCATCCTCTTTATTACGAGCGAATCTCTTCAAATAATCTTCTTTGCGACAAAGATGCAATTATTTTTAATTTTCACCATGCTTTGTTCGATTTTCCATCAATGGATGTATTTCTTCGTGATCTCAATCAAGCTTACAGTACCGGCCAACTCACAATAGATGACAACTCTCTTATGCGTTATCTTGATTGTGAGTAGAAATATTTAGTATTTTCAATACAATCATTCCTCTTCTCTCTTATTTAGATGCTGCTATCGAACAACAAATACCAATGACTGCTGCCAGTATGTTTTGGCGCGAAACTCTTCAAGATTGTAAAATCGATCGTTCGTTAGCATTGCCATTTGATCGATATCGTCTTTCTGATGAACATCGAACTAATCGTGGAACATTGCTCTCTTTTGATTTTGGTCAGAATCTTTCACATGATTTCATAACTTATTCATCGTCGAATGGCATAACACTTGAACAACTGGCACTTGGTAGTTATTATGTCTTTTTGTTCAAATTGACTAATGGAGAAAGTGATTTATGTATTGGAATGAACACACATGGAAGATATAAAGAAGAATTGATGTCAGCAATTGGAATGTTCGTTAATGCTATTCCTTTGCGATGTCAATTAGATCCTCATTGGTCTTTTCCTCACCTACTTGAACATGTTAAAGAGATGTTTACAAGTAGTTTAGAGTATTCTTATTTTCCTTTTCAAAGAATCGTAGCTCAACATCCAAATGCTACGAAACTTGCATTTCTTGAGACATTATTCGAATTTCAATCTTATTCTTCTAAAAGTATTAAGAACGAAATGATGATTGGAGATGCTCGACTTTATGAAAAGACTTTTTCAATTAAAATTGATCAAGATGAAATAATGAGCAAGTTCGATTTCATCCTTAGTATCCAATATGATTCGGATACTAATCAACTCTCATGCATAATCAATGCATCACTTGACTTGTTTGATAGAAAAACAGTTAATATCATCGCACAACGGTTTCACTCAATGTTAGAACAATTGTTTAACGTAATGGATATTCCGAAGTATAAAGCAATTTATGAATTATCATTAATATTACCAGATGAAAAATTAATTATGAAATCAACTAATAACACAGAAGTATTATTTCCTTCTGGAGCTTGTATTCATCATGAATTCGTGCGTCAAGTAATAAAGCATCCACAAAAGGTAGCAGTCGAGCTGGATCATCAATCTCTTACATATTGTGAACTTTTATATTATGTTCAGTTACTATCTTTGAATCTTTTGACTGACCAAAGAGTAATGGTAGGTGAGATTGTTTGTCAATATGTAGAAAGAAGTTTATCGATGGTAAGTTGATCGAATACAATAATTTAACTTAATAAAATATTATGATTGACTAGGTGATTGGTATGATGGCAATTGAAATGGCTGGCGGTGTTTATTGTCCATTATCACCTGGAGATCCAGAACATCGTTTGCATGCACTTGTAGAACAAACCCAAAGTCGTCTTGTTCTAGTTCATAACCATACAAAAACTATATTTCTTAATGATGTTATTTCAATTGACATAGATCCAGTATTGATGAATAAAAATATCGAAAGTGATGCCGATATTTGTTTGTTGACAAATGTCGTGGTGGCACCTGATTATATTGCGTATATTATCTTCACAAGCGGCTCAACAGGAACACCTAAAGCGGTTAGTATTGGAACCTATAATGAACTTATATATTATCATTATCTTACTCGTTCATAGGCTCAAATTGGACATCGAAACATCATTGAATCGATGCAGTCTATGATTTGCATAGACGCAGTTAAAAAGACTGATATAGTCGCACAAATTGCACGCTGTTCTTTTGATGTTCATGTTCTTGATATAATGGGAACATTGATAATTGGTGGAACTCTAATTATGCTTCGTCCTGGAGGAATTCTGGACCTTAACTATTTAGCTTCAGTATTAAATGAAAAGCAGATTACATATATACAAGCAGTTCCGAGTTTACTCAGAGCTCTTTTCATTTCTGTTTTAGAAACTTGTAGTTTCACTCACGTCAAATGTTTAAGATCGCTTTGTAGTAGCGGTGAGACAAAATTAAACTACACTGAACTTCACCACATGTTTTTTTTTACAGGAGAACCTTGTTCTGCTAAACTACTTCAACTACTAGCCAGCTGTATAGCAGAAAAATGTGACATCTGGAATTTGTATGGCCCAGCAGAGACAATAATTTGCATATATTCTAACATTGGCCGTCTAACGAATGCTGAATCCATTCCTATCGGTCTTGTAATGCCTAATTATGAATATCTTATACTCGATGAATTTTTGCAAAGCGTTCACATCGGTCACGAGGCTCAACTATTTATCAAAGGAATTGGTGTCTTTACCGGTTATCTAGGACGTGATGATTTGACAACAAGAGCACTTATTGTGGTAGATGATGAAATATTTTATCGAACAGGTGATCTTGTTCGAATGGATAGCAACGGTCTTCTTCATTATCAAGGAAGAAACGATCACCAAATCAAGCTACGTGGACAACGTATTGAACTTGGAGAAATCGAACGATGTTTACTTAATACATCAATTTCTGCTTGTGTTATCATCAAATGGGATGATGACCATTTGATTGCTTATATACAAAGCTCCGATATCGATATAGAACAATTACGTGAACATTGTCAATCTCATCTTCCACCTCATATGATTCCATCATTATTCATTGTACTTGACAAACTGCCTTTGAATTCAAATGGAAAAATAGATCGAAAACTTCTTCCTCCTCCTTCTTCTCATTTCTCTCATTCTCTACAACTGAATCAGAAAAATAATTTAGAAATCAAAAGACCTCGGAATGAAATTGAAATTATAGTTCATAATCTTTGGTGTGATATTTTTCAACAGAATCAAATCTCAATTGATAGTAATATCTTTGCAATTGGTGGTCATTCTCTTCTACTTATGCAACTTTATCATCGATATCAAACAACATTCCATTTAGAAACAAAATCTCTTTCTATTAGTGATCTATTTCAATATCCAACAATTATTGATCATGTTCAATTCATTCGTCAAGCTATCAATATTGGAAAACATTTTGAAGATTGTTGGTCTTCTCTACATCTCATTCAAGGTAGGAGAAAAAAACTCAACATTTCAGTTTTGATTCTCTGTTGGTTTTGACACATTTCAGCACCAGCATCTTTTGCTCAAGAAAGAATATTTCTTGATGAACAAATTCGTTTTTCATCCAAAAGTTACGATGTGATATATGCTATTCCATTACTTTATCGTGTATCTTCTGCAACCAGTCCTATATCGATTACTCGATTACATCGTGCATTTCGATCTATCATTATGAAACATAGTATTCTTCGTACAGCACTTCATATTGATACTAATGGTTCCATTATACAGCATTATCTGAATTTGGATATAAATAGTAATGATGTGAAGCCATACGAATTTTCAGTAATAAATCTTCGTGAAGATAATGATCGTAACATTGGTAAAACAATATATGAGATAATAAAACGTAATGATTTATTAGAGTTAGTCAAAGAGCGTGTAATTCATTGTCATATTCTTCGTCAATATCGTCCGGATGATAATCTCTCATCGGAGAATGATGATCTGTTGACTAAAGATGATTTAATATTATTTAACATTCATCATTCAGCATTTGATGGAGCTTCTACATCAGTTTTTCTTCGTGACTTTTCCTTTGCTTATGAGACTGATTGTTCATTAGCTTTGAATGATGATACATTACAATACATTGATTATTCCGTTTATGAACATCAAATGGATATGACATTATCACGTGACTTTTGGTGCAAACAACTTAGAGGATACAATCTCGAATGTCGATTGTCATTACCAACTGATCGGCATCGTTTGTCGGCTGATCAACGATCTGCTTTTGCATCTATAGCTCAAATGTCTTTTGATGAGGACATCTCCATAGCATTTGTAAATTATGCATGTGCACATAAAATCACACCATTTCAGCTAGGACTGGCTACATTTTATGCATTTCTATTCAAATTAACTCATGGTCAAAATGATATCTGTATTGCTTGTCTCAATGCTAATCGATATAAAAGTGAATTAGAAAATATGATTGGAATGTTTGTTGCAACATTGCCATACCGTATTCAATTAAATTCTCATTGGTCATTTGATGAACTTGTCAAACATGTACAAGAAAAATGTTTGTCAATTCTCGAACATTCTCATTATCCACTACAATATATTCTTGCTGATTCTCATCTTAATCAATTGAAAATGCCTTTTCTCGAAACAGTATTTGATTTTATCACTGTGTCTTCCGATATGACTTGCTTATGTTTGAATGATGCAACTTTAGAACAAGTGTCATTTGAACAATCATTTGAAGTAGCTAAATTTGATTTCATGTTGACATTTATTTACAATCCAACATTGAATGATAATAGACTTTCATGTCGTTTCGTCTGCTCTCATGATTTATTTGATCCGTCAACAGTTGAGAAGATGGCACAAAGATTTCAAAATGTTTTCTACCAACTTTTCTCTTCAAAGTCCAGTGCTTCTCAGATTGATCAATCTTTTACACCTATCAAGAAACTGTCACTTATTTTACCAAACGAAGCTCAAGAAATGCAAGGAACAATCTTTTACAGATTACCCAATATTGTCAATGAAGGTATGTTTATTTACTTTTTATGTTTTTTTTATGTAGATTATATGCCATAAGTAGCCATAGTCTAAAAATTTGAAAGTCTTCATTCTGTGCATATGAAAGGATTTGATTTTTCCTTTATAAAGGTTAGGAGAAGGTTCAAAGCTTTTACTCATAAAAACAGCATCATGAAATACAACTTGGTTTTTGCATTATTGTTTTCAAAAAAGAGCTGTAGGTTTTAACAGGCTCCAGCTCATTTCATGTACAATATGTTCTTACTTCAGTTTCTGAAAATAATTTCTTAAGATTAACTGATGTGTTATTTATCATGTAGTAGACTAATTTGATTTGAAGCACAATAGAACATTTCAAGTTTGTTTCGCTTCAGATAAAACAAAATATCTTAGCATTCAACATTCCTATGTGCGTCAATAATGTATGCCGATACTCTTCGAAAAGGCTAGGAATCTTTGTTGAGGGTAATATTATTAGTTCTAAGTTGTATCTCTTGATGTTGTTTTCAAGGATAAAAACTCTCGAAATGCTTCTACCACTGATATAAAAAGTTAGCGCATTTATTTTACGGAATAGAGATATTCAAATTTTTATTCTATTGTTATTTCTGATGCAAGATGTATAACACTCATATCGTCGTAGAATATTTTGAAAATGTCAAACAATGAAATCAGATGTAATATCAAGATATTATTTTGCCAATTGTACTGTTTTCTCTACTCATGTGCGAAAGTTAAAAGTACTGATTGGTTTTCAGTAGTGGTAAAGTGTTGAACTCATTGTTGTTGTGAATAATTTATTGACTAATATACACTCTTGTTGTCAGCGTTATTTGCAGTGAAAAAAGTTGTCTATATAAAATTAAAGGAAATATAGACAGTCCAAGTAAAAGAACATTTATATATTATTTAAATATGCTGCGGAACTACTACGAAAACTCGCTAGACATCAGCTCCTACTATAAACTTGCTCCCTTTCTCCAAAACTTTATTTATCGTTCCACAAGTAAGCTATTTGGCTTTGAAAACACGAGGTACCTTGTATACAATAAAGGAAAGATGATTTATATGGATGATGACAATATGAGATCATATTGATATTCATCTAAAATTTTCACTGATATAGAAGTGATTTGGTTTTTTAACTCCTTCGAAACATGAGTGTCTTTACTATTGGAAGTTTTCGATAATTTGTTGTATTTTTTTGGCACTTTTGAGTAAATCTCAAAGAATTCCATCGCTGAAGGAAAATATTTGAAAAACCACTTGGTCAAAATTAAACGAAATGCAAATGGAAGAAAATTTCGAAAGTCAAGAATATCAAATAAATAATTCGCTGAGCCTTCTTAAATGAATTATTTCAAGTGTTCGATTAACTATTTAGAAAAACATAGAACAATAGCAATTACTATATCGAAAGTAAAGAGTATAAGGACTTAAACAAGAGAATGAATAACGACGAGTACCATATTAGAACGTCTTGGTTCACCTTATAGTGGATAAGAGAAAGAATCTGCTTTACAACTCATATATTGCAGCATAGAGATATTTTAATTGTCATTTAAGGAAGTATTTGAAGTAATAAACACGATTTCCTAGCCATATGAGTTTTCCCAAGAAACTTGAGGACAACGGTTCTGGAGACATCGTTGACTAAGTAAGTAGTTCTACATCTTTACTACAACGCTCAATCCAGATATCATAAAACACTCGATTGATTAAGTTTAACGATAACACTGACGAGGGAGCCGTTTCAGGTGCTAAAAACCTCTTGAGCTCAAATTTTGCCCACAGGTACAGGATATATACAGGGTGGCCCAAAAGTAAGGGAACAAAGTGAGGAAACATCGAATTCTTTCCAAGTTTTTCTTAATGGGTCGATAGCTAGATCTCATATTTGGTCCACATATACTATATAATAATACTCAGAAAAGCAGCCTATCATCAGTCTATGCTCATAAGATGTCATTGAAAAACATCCGAACGTCTCTTATGTACTCCTATATGTCTGTCACAGAAGTCTGTATTTTCTGATTGAAGTCAATTGATTTCTTTCCATTATACTCTCTCTTTGAGCCATTTTCTATGCAAGAAATTTAAAACAACGTAAGAATCAATAGAATTTAAATCAGCCAGTACGTTTGATACAAACAGACAAAAAGATAGAAATAAAGTACGACAGAGAAACAATAAACTTTTGCAATAATCATATTGGAGTACAAAAGAAACATTCTTGCGTTATTCAATGAAATCTTAAGGGTAACGGTTGACGCTAGGCTGTCTCTCTAAGAATTGTCATATAGTATATGTGAGCCAAGTGTGAGATCTAATTATCGATCTATTAAGAAAAAATTGAAAAGAATCCGGTGTTTCTTTACTTTGTTCCTTTACGTCTAGGCCATTCTGTAGATTATAAAAACCCTAGGAGGATATGGGTCCAAGTTACGATTTGGTGGAGATAGTGACTTTCCACTATGATCTTTCTTTAGGACGTGACTAGTCCAGTAAAATCATAATTTCGATTTTTGTTCTGAAACTTTACATACATTGAGGTCCCGATCAGACTAGCTTGCCCACAAAGTTTGAGAATTTCTTGATGAATTATCTTCGAGATACCAATATGTTAGCTTATAGATGCTTTTTATAGTTATTGTTTTATGCACGAATATTTTGGAAAATCCATATTTCGGAGATAATTCATCCAGAAATTCTAAAACTTTGTAGACAAGCTAGTCTGATTGAGAACTCGATGTATGTGAAGTTTCAGGCCAAAACTCGAAACTATGATTTTACGGGAAAAGTTAAGTCCTATATCAAGAGCGTAGTTATAAGTCAATATCTCAGCCAAATCGCAACTTAGACCAATATCCTCTTAAGATTTTTCTAGTCTATACATCGTCTACCTAGTGGGCAAAATTTGAGCTCAAAAGCTTTTTCGCACCTGGAGCGGTTCCCTCGTGAATACCTAGAGACTATTCAATGTTGAACTTATAAAATAAGATAGATATAGAATAATTAAACTAGACTTTAATGTCAGATACCAAAAACCAAGTATCTTAATTATCATCTGATTGAAAGTCACCACAATAACATTTACGTTCTGAGCATTAGCTGATGACCTCTGTTGTGATATTCCATCAATAAGTGTTCAAGGAAATTATTGATATCATATGAACCATTCTTCATTTTCTCTCTTTATAGCTATCTCTTGTTTGAAAACATTCGACTGGTTATTTTTGAGATACGCACGAAATCACTTTTTATTCTGCTTACTTAACCAAAATATTGATGTTAAAGATACTTCATTATGATACGAATAGACCAAGGTCACATTGAAAGTAAAAATATATGAGTGATTCTAGCGTCAATTGTATAATTTTTTCTTTTAAAAAATAAAAATTGCTCCATTTGAAAATATTATTATCGAATAGATGATTCTCTGAAGTAGAAAAGTAGTTTTACAAATGACCATAGTTTTCTTTTGTCATATTAGAAATCAAGAGATTTTTCGCAACTAAGTTAAAAGATTGTTGCCATACTTAGTTGTAAAATAGCCGCAGCGTAGCAAGATTATATA